TCAATAAAATCCACCCCAATTGCCAAATCCACGACTACAGTCACCACATAAACGCCTTCACCACCACCAAACATAACCCACAGAAATCAACCACTACACCATCACCATCGTCGTCGCCACCTCTATAGTTAAACCACAACCTCACCACCAATACTGTAAAAACCACCGCTCAAATCGCCATTACAATACCGCGATCTTCAAACACAGGATGATTATGCTGCAACAACCGCTGGCGATCTTCGTGTCGTTGTGGTGTCATGCTGCAGTCGCCATCGATGCAACCCCCAAAAGAGAAAGAGACCCGTGGCGTCGAGACTATTGCAAATGCAGTGTCGCCTCCTCGCGTCGACACTAATCGATGCTAAAGGACTGCATCGTCACCGATGTTGAAGAGAGAGAAGGGAGAGATGGGATGGGTAAAATTGCAGCGTCGCCTGCATTGAAGAGAGAGACAGTAGAGGGAAGGAGAGGGAGGGAGAGAGATGGTGGGGGGAGAGCGAGAGAGAGATGAAAATGGATTAGAGTTTTGATATAATGTAATATATTGAACTTATCAATTTTAACCAATTTTAATACAGTGTATATATATATTTTTTAATTTAATGTTAATTTAGCATCTACCTGATTCCGCTGAAAAACTAAGTTCTTTATTTTTATTTTTATTTTGTCAAGATGATACATTTATATTTCAAGTTTACAATATAATGTATAGATGAGTAGTCCCACTCAACATTGAGATATGACTTTTGCAAACGTCCATATTCTTCATTTTTTTCCTATTTTACCCTTGAACTTGAGGTACAAAAGTAGGGATCAACTTTTAATTGGAATTGTTCAGATACATAGGTTTCAATTCGCTTCCCCAAAAAATTAAAGAATCGGAATCGATTGGGTTCCGGATGATAGCTAGAATCATGAGTACTTGATTTTAGAATCGAATTTGTTATTTCTATATTTTTTTAACCATATATTCATCATAACCCAATAACCCGATGGGATGCAAAGGAAACGATGGGATGATGTTGATTGTAATGTTATTTTCATATGAATGAATTTATGTTATTTTTAACATTTGTAGAATCTAGTACTTCCTTAATATTGTTTTCAAGATTTTTTGGTTAATCTTGTGTTTGTTATTTTGTGTCTACACTCCGTTAGATATTAGATAGCTTTACTAGATATTGGATGTTATTTGATATTATAATTTTTTTCCAGATATTTAAAAGATAATTTGTATTTTTAACTAGGTGTTATAAAGAAAAAGTTTCAAGTAGAATGTAATTGAAATAGGCGATTCAGATTCGATTTCAATAATTACGTGGACTTGTATCCTATTTACAAGATATTCAAAGTGTAATAGACGATTTTGAGTATTGAAAAATACACGATTGACCTACCCAACATTTAGAGCTATAAAAAAATCAAAACTAGGTTTTTATTTTTTGTACAATAGGGCGTGAATGCTTTCTACAAATGGCAATACTGTCCCTATTTGACAATCATTATTTGGAAAAATAGATTTTTGAATAGTGATTTTTAGGATATGTAGTTAAAAAATAGAGAAAAAATTTTAAGTTTATGTATAGAGTATTATATTGGGTGAATGTGTGATTGAAAATAAGTATGTAGCAAAAAGAATTTAAAAATAATGAATGTCAAACAGCGGTTAAGCATTATTGGTACTATTTTAATTGAATTTTAAGGCCTACAAACAATTAAAAAAAAAAAAAAAAAGCAACTTGGTCAATAAAGTATTTTGCAAATGCGTAATATTTAACACCAATAGCATCAAGCGTCAATTTAATTTGTGACTATATATCATTAAATGATAGATTCATTTAAATGTAAAATCATGCGATTCATTTAATCAAACCTATCAAATGTGGCCACCACCACTGATGTTGGATATCATTATTTTTTGCAAATTTAAGGTTTTCATTATGAGTTTAGTATTTAAATCTTTTCAGGTTAGTTTTTTTTAATAAACAAATTAATACCAAATATTAGATTTTCTCCAATATTCAATGTCTTTATTGTATTTTATTGAATCAATGGATTTAAATTACGATGTCATTTTTCAATGTTGACACTTGTGCTACAAAAGGTTCCATAATTATTTCATTGTAAAATAATCAATGATTCTACTTTTGGTTCGATTCTTTTGGGACAAAACCGAACCCTACCACACTTACAAGTTAGTATCTTGAGATATAGTGTGAAAACTTCTAATACATGCATATTTATTGTGACCACTAACTATTGCATTGAAGATGATGACTTGCCATGGACATAATGTGTCGTGCGAGTCATATGCGATTGTCCTCTTATGTATTGTGCTATTATGAGCTCTTTTGTGTAGCTTGTAATTCTTCTCTAATTGGTTTGACTCGACGAAGTTTCCAATGAAGTAAGGGTTTAGCCATGCAAACCCCTCTCTTGTGTGTAGAAAATGAATAGTGACAAGAATTCTCTCTATATATTGGCGATTAAAAGATTTTGAAAGAGTTTTCTCTCCAAGCTTGGCCTTGAAAATTTTGAGACCCTAAATGATAAATGATCATGAGGTCATATACATAATTTTTTTTACAAGTGTAATTGTCATCAAACATGGCTAAATCAAATAGTTTATCGTGATAAGGAACATTGCATCCGTAGTACTCAACTACTGTATGATTTGTTCAATAATTGTTGGAAGAATTTTGTGAATAGTGACGCCGAAATAAGTATAGTGATGGTGACAAAGCCGAGGCAAAAGTTGGACTCTTTGTCCTTAAGTCGAATTTGCCCCGCAACGGTGCCTACGGATTTCGGCAATCGACTCCCAAGATACAACGGTTACACTTGTGTTTGTAGCACTCCAAAATACAAGTACAACAAACCAAATTTAGACTTATGTACTCTAAGGATGAAATGAAAGAAAATCAAAATAAATGAAATGATTTTGATTTTGGATAGAAGAGAGGATGAGAGACGTTTTGCATATCAAATTGTGTGGAATAGGACACCCAAAGGGTCCTATTTATAGACCATGAAAGGGTGTGGACGAAATGGTTGAGGCCAAACCATGCACCCTTTCCAAACAATGCACCTTTATGAAGAGGATTTGGAAACATTGGAAGTCAAGTATAATGAAGAGGATCTGACATTGGAAGTCAAGTATAATGAAGGGACACGATTTTGCACAGTCATGGCACACTCACCATTGATGATGTTTATGATACTTTATTCTCAAAGGAAAAGATGAAGCATCTGGTTGGAGTTCCATTTAGGGACGAAAAAGCTCTGGTGTCTCATGGTGATTGATGGAGAGGTATGTCAAGAATGAACTTTAGCCATTAGTTTTGCGTCTACTGTAGAAGGAAAGGGCATATCAAGAAGGATTGTGCAACTCGCAGACTAAAGGTAATTTAGCTGCAAATTGTGGGAGGCAATTAGATAATTCGGATGAGACTAATATTGTCGAGGACTTTTCGGATGGCGGAGATGTGGTGTTGACCATATCTAACATGGAGTCTAAGCCTGACGAGGAGTGAATTCTGGATTTAGCATGTACTTTCCTATGTGTCACAATCGGGACTTGTTTGAGGTATATGAGGCTGTTAAGTAAGGTGGAGTTGTCATGAGAAACAATCAATCTTGTCGGATTTCTAGAATCAGTCAGGTCAGATTGAGGTTGCAGGATAAGACAATCAGAATACTTGGCCAGTTTCGTCATGTTCCAGACTTGAAAAAGAATCTCCTCTCGCTGAGTACTCTAAATTCAAAGGATTATAAGTTTTCTGGTGAAGGTGGAGTTTTGAAGGTCCAAAGGAGTGTCCAAGTTGTACTGGAGGGACGAAAAAGGTCTCACTTGTACATTTTGCAGGGCCACGCAGAACCAGTTAGAAGACATCTGGACAAGTTTGGTACTATGGTGAAAATTCAATTTGGTACAGTACCTCTTGTGATGGGCTTTAAGTTGGTTCAAAACACTACTAGAGAAAGCATTGGTGATTCTGCTTTGCCACTTATTTCTGCGGATACACTGTGTTCAAATGCTTGGGTTATATACATTGGACGTAGGTATAATGTTGGAGATGTCTGTAATGCTTTTGAGATCTTTGAATGTACCAGTTCTAGCAAGGGGCCTTCTGATTAGGCATTTTGTGTGGATTCTGCTACATGGTGTGTTTCGACCCTGTTTGGTCAATGTTAATTCATTGATGGAATTTTGGGAACTTCTAATTAGGGTTCGGGTGTCGCTTGTGGATGTCAGGCAGAGGATGAAGTTTTTCATAAGGTGAAAAGTATTGGTTACTATTTGAGAAGTTTGGTTATTTTGATGCAGTCAAACATATTTTTCAGGTAAAGAAATTTTGAAACTTTGTTCGTTGCACTGAGATTTTGGTCAAGGTCAAGATTGTTTGATTTTGATCTTCAAAGTAGGGTGGATTTGTTTTTGAAAAATATTGTTTCTTTATTTTCACGTGATTTTATTGAAAAATATTATTTCCTTATTTTCACATAATTTTATTCAAAAAAAATAGTATTTCCTTTATTCTGCAATTTTTATATTATTTCCATCTTTATGATATTTTTAAGGTTTGGTACGTCCATATAAATATGTGGCTCTTCATTCAGTTTAGGTGAAGTTTTATTGTCGAATTCTTGTATTCTGTCCACATATTGTTTTTAATAAAATATCGATTCCTCTGCTAATTTCTTTTCAATTTCTTTACTTTAATCTTGTTTTCTTAGTTGTAATCATACATATTTCATATTGTTCATTAATCTCAATTCTTACATCGCCTTCGAATCTAATTTCAGAGTAATTCTAGTAACTTTATTGTTCCCAACAACTCTGTGGCTGGAGAGGCATGGTCCCCACGTTTGAGGGATTTGGAGAACAAAAAATTGATGCCCCCACGTTTTGATGATGTGTATTTAACTCGCTTATAAAATAATGTAATTTCTTAATACTAATACACTAAATTAGTTATATTCCCATTGCCGGACAAACTCCTACTCAACTAGAAGTCCACAGCACCTTTACAAATCCTACAACCTAACTAATTAAAATTGTTTTTTTAGTCCACCAGCAACTTGTCAGCTCCAGCTGTACTGTCAAGCTGTTGAATTAACACATTCCAAAGCCGTTAAGCCAATACTCCATGATAAAGAGTGGGGGAGCGTTTGCAGAAAGCACCAGGTAATTTTTCAGAACGCGTTTTAGAAGTTGTGGCGCAAACATGTTTCTGATCAATCAAGATTCAATCAAAGCATCGCAATCACAAACTTCCCATAAATTTTCCTCAAAAGAAACGGATTTAAACGACGATTTCCAAGAACCTGCATTTTCCAGCGGAATTTGCTGCTCTTTGTGGAGCATACCGTATTTCTGCTGCCGCCCATCGGACCGCGCCGCCGTATGGGAGCGGCTTCAAACGGCGGAGAAAGGAAGAGAAACGGCGCAGGTGAGTAGTTGGTGGAGAAAAGGTATAAAAGCAATCAACAAAACGAGGGAATGGTCGGAGCTAGTGGCTGGTCCGAAGTGGAAGACATTTATTCGCCGGTTCAACAAGACCGGGTCCAAGCCCGGGAAATTCCGCTACGACCCTTCTAGTTACGCTTTGAATTTCGACGACGGACTGGAGCAAGACGGTCAATTAGAAGAGGATAAGATGTACCGAAATTTCTCGTCGAGATATGCGGGTAAAGCGGACAGGGATGCGTTGCCCCTCAAATGAGGAGGCAGGGGCGAGTTGAAGAATGGTGGTGGGTCGACTCGGCGGGTAATTGACGGCGGACGTGCTGTGGTCAGATGAGTGATTGGGTGGTTTGACTCTTTTGAAATTGGTCGGATAATTAATGATTAGGATTCTAGAAGAAGGTCAACTTGGTCTGTCATATGCTTGGAACCTTCCACAACCTGATAGTTGAAAGTGCACTCTCGGCTAACAGATAAATTGAGTTTTAAGCCTTCGGAGCTGGTACTCTTCTTCTCAATTCCGACTAGCATGTCTTTGATAAATTTTTCATATGACTGATTATTAAAAAAATAATTACTATGTTTGAGCTACATTATTTTGAAAGAATGTATTTTAAAATAGTAGATTGATAGAAAATGTGATTAAAATATGAAGAAAAGTTTTGATATTACACGTAATATTATTTTATTGAAAATTGAGAGATTGAAATGATGTCAAATTATTGTTTAATAATATATTTTTTTTGGAAGAATGCTTCTCAAATAGAGCTTTAATATTGTTTAGATTAAATTTGGGGAAATTTTTTGTACTCAGGGCATGTTAAATTTTTATTTCCTTTCTAGGGTTTAATTAATTGTAATGTAGTTTTGTACCCTAGAATTTCATAATAAATTTTGAAATGATGAGTGAGAATATCTACTACTACAAAAATGATTCAACAGGAATAATTTTGATAATAGGATGAGGTAAAAACTAAGCCCATGTTTGGGATTCATTTTAATGTGTTTTTAAAAAGACGTGTAATATTATTTTATTTGAGAATGTGTGATTAAAAAAAGATGAGAAAAAAATGTATTAAAATTATAATGGAGGCTAAATGGCATATCAAACAAACATTGATTCATTCAACCGAGTAACTCTAAAACTCATTAACACAATCAGAACACATTTTAAGGACCCTTCAACTAGTACACTATATGAATGAACATGGTAATCATTGGCAGTTCATACTCTAGTACAAGTTAAAATTTCTCCCCATAGTAATAAGCAGTCCCAACCATAAGGGCAATAGTCGCGCCTTGGACGACCACACGAGCTCTCATTAGCTTTTGACCTAAATGTGAATTTCCCCGCCTGAAGCTAATCAGTCCTGCTGTAAGCACTCCAGCTGTAATCAGTGCACCTGAAAACCAGAAAACACACTTCAACATATACCTTGTCAATACAAACATGTAATATTGTCAAAAATGATCATTTCACAAAGTTACTTGAACAATTTAATCCAACATTGATAGTCTCTCTTTTGGGTAATTAGCACAAAATGTCCCTACCTTTTATACTGCAACACATCCCAACCTTCCAATTTCTGGCACTTTCACTCTTAATTCCACATTTATTGCTCAAAACGTCATATCCGTCAACTTCCATTTAACAGTACTCTTGTCCAAAAGGAAGAATATTCTCTTCTACCCACAATTTTATCATTTTCTTTGCCTTGATTATTACTCTCTGAAGAACACATAATGTCACTGTGGCAAAATTATTACACTCCAATTCTTTCCTTAACCTCATCATCAATGGTCAACACAATAGGAAGGGACATATTCACAACATTCCCACCTTTCATTCTCAACAATTGAAATGCAAACTCGGCAAATAGTTATCTTCTCTCATGAACCTTTTTAGTGGGCTAGCCCAACCCCTCATTTATAACATGAACCACTCAAGATCAACCTTTTGTAAGCCAGACCTTCATCATTGTCTCACCGTCTAAAATTTTGGCCGCCCTTTGGATTTCTAGCACCACAAGATCCACCATTTGACCCATATCTGGCTCAATCAAAGTACTTTTCACTACCATAGAATCCTCACTAGAAGGAGATGATAAATAAGCCATTTCTTTATGGAAGAGCACAAATAGGCAAATGGACTGGAATGGTATATGGGTTTGGGGAAGAAAATGGGAAAATTGTGGGAAGATGAGAATATCCTTCTCTTTGGACGAGAGATGCATTCACTTAATGGAGCATTTGGCTGAAAATGGATGAAAATGATGTTTTGCGTAATAAAAGGTGGAATTAAAGATGAAAATGCCAAAAACTGGAAGATATGAACGCTTTGTACAATAAGAAAAAGGTAGGGACATTTTGTGCTTATTACCCTTTTCTTTTCTAAAGACATTACAACCACCAAACGCAACATTATGTTAAGAATGGCAATTAAGGCCCCTAACACCTTTCTTCTACAGGGACCAAATCAGGATCAAAATGTAAGTTTTCCACAATTAATATTTCTCTCTTCTTGAATAAAACCACATTTTGTGTCATCAACTAACAAACTCCAGTGCACCAATATGTTGATGAAATCAAGAATAATGAGAGGAACCATATCAATTCTACTATCTTGAAATAGAAATATAGGCCTCAGCAGTATAAGCAATAGACTTATGCAAGTCATCACATTAATATCCATCTTGAATCACCCCGAACCAGTGTTTGAAAAGGCTAAATGGTAGGGACAAAGCACCTGGTATTTTTAGGAATAAACATGAAAATACGAATATACTTGAAATCTAGCATCCAAAAGCACTATATTAAAATATCTTAACAAAATTAAAACTCTACTTTGCAACTAGAAACATAAAGTAGATTGACAAAGACAAACTATTAACAACATAACGGAACCACTAATCACAACTAGATTTAAAAAAAGAAACAAGATAATAGCTGTTTAAGAATTTAGCTTGCTTTAACTTTAAAGCAAAGAAAGCCAAGAGAAAAGAAAACCAAAGCACATAGACGACTAGAAAATTAAAATATAAAGTGAATAGTGAAGTATGCGTCGCTGGTGCCACTCAAAAGTTGCAACTTCACTTGGATGGAGAGAGTATCATACCCCAGTTGTAGGAGGCTAGAACACATATTGCTCCTCACCGTTCCTTTCTCTGATCATTAATTCTTTTTTCTCTATTTTCGAAGTTGGATTGTATTTCAAAAAACAAAAAAACTACAACATAATCTATGCTACTAAAAATATTTCCCAGAAGGCTAAGGCCAAAAATAACACCCCCAAATGACAAGACTAAAAAGGGTGCAACTCCACCACCTTGAGGCTTATCCCCTTAGGTGTACACCTTAGTAATTCAAGGTGCAATCCTTGACAAATGGCAATCAAAGCTTAATCTTCGAGGCTTTTAACGAAGGCTGTGCACAAGCAGTAACTCAAAGCTCAAAACCACTGGGCAGTTTGAAAACAATGCCCCCATCACGATGACATTCAGATGCTACTCCTAATACTAACATCAGAAATAAAGATTCCTTTTAAGTTCTCATTGCACCGTTGCTTCTTATCTCGTGCACATCATGAAACTAGATCATGCTTCTGTCCTTGGCTCATCAATTTGTTCTAGCAGATAGCTTTGATAATCGATGAAAAAGTTTCAAGTCCTCTCACTTCGTAATTCTCCTTACTGACTTCATTTTCATACCAATTGGCCTTATACAAATCATATTGCAATGTTACTTTCACTAGAAAATTTTGAAGGCTAATTTCAGAACTCCGAAGATAAATTGGACATCAATTAACTGCATTCCTAGGGCATATCATCAAGCAATTAAGAAAACTCTGGACTCTTCAATCAATCCATCAACGAATAAATAAATATACTTGTACGATGAACAATTTCCTTTTAGAATATCAACCTCAAATGGAACCGAATCAAGTTCAGAAATAACAAAATTTTATTCTTATTGAAGAAGCAGAAAATAATAAAAGCATAACGTAAGATGGAAAATAAGATGTACCGATTGGGACGAGGGGATTTTTGACGCGCTTTTTCTCCTCGAACAGATCTTCAAATTCGGAATTGCCGGCTCCCATTTTCTCCATATGTAGTCAAAGACGCTTCAATTTACCGTGCCTCAACGCTCAACAGCCACCACGATCTATAAGATGGACTCCAATATGCTGTCTCTCTCCCCCTCGTCGCGGGTGCGCGGTGGCTCACCCAAGCTTGTGGCGCTTCAAGGAGGCGACGCGTTTCCTCCTTTGCTGCCCCACATTAAAGACGTTCTATTGGAAAATTGCACTATGAGTCCTCCATCTATAGCCCTTGGTCCTCCATTTTTTTTTCTTGACATTGCAGTCTTGCAGATTTCACTACGAGATTTGTTCTTTTCTTTTTTCTTTTTTTTTAAAATTATAATTTAATTGTTAAAAAACATTAATTTTGAAAACACATTTTTAGACTCAAAAAGTTAAAATTATTATCAAATTATTCACTACTTATTTTTTTTACATTATAAATTTAGCAACTTGAACATTTCTTTAGGGTCTTTATAAGTAAGATGTTCATTACTTTAAAGAGTCAAACTTCAAAATTAAACTCCAAAAGATATTTTATCTAACTTGTTAAAATATAGGGTGAGTTTGATGATTTATTTCTATTTGTTTGGCCCATTTTAGTAAGATTTTGGGAAAAAAAAGTATTTTGAAATAGTGATTTTTTTAATAATGTGTTGTTAAAAAGAAAAGATAAAAATACATTTTAGATAAAATGGATCTCAAACAGAAGTTAAAATTACACTGCTTAATCCTTCAATCGAAAAGAATAAACGCTTTATAAATGATTTAATTTATAAATAGATAGAAATAAGTGTTGAATAGTTAGTCAGTTGGAATGTGTATTTTAGAATTTTTTTAATTTTTTTTAATTTTACATACTCATTTTTAATCATACATTCACACAATATAATATTCTATACATAAACTCAAAATGTTTCCTAACTTTTTAATTACATGTTCTTCTAAAAAACATTATTTAAAACTTTCTTTTCCCTAATGGTTGCCAACCAGGGGCTAAATTGAAGTTTGACCATGATTTATAAATTTGCTAAACATAGAATAAATTATTCATATCGACGATATATATATAACACAATAAAAGAATATAGTAAAAAAATAAAATAAATAGTAATAATAAAGGCCTATATTCTTTCTATAAGCAAGCTCCTTCCCTCTCAGATTCTCTAGGGCTTAACATCAAGCTATTAAGGTTGTTCAGTAGTGATTGGGTCAGGAAACAAGACCTGTTAGTGCCTATTGCAATAATGGCGCAAAAACCCACCCCGCTTCAAATGGGATGGCGAGGTGGGGCGGGGCAAAGCGGAGCCCCCCGTTGCGGGGAGCGGCGAGGCAAGGATGCCCCGCCTCAAACCAATTCCATGAAGAAAAAAAATTAAAAATAATTTTATTTCTATACAATTCATCCGTTAAAAATCCATTTTAAATTTGTATTTTATTCTCTAATAATAATATAACTCGAAACTTTGAAAATGTAAAAAAATAAAAAAAAAATTAAATGGGGCAAAAAGTTGCCCTGTCCCCACCCTGCCCAATCTAAGACGGGGCAGGGCTGGATGGGGTGGGGGCGCTCTACCCCCGAATCCGCTCCGTTGCCATCCTTAGCTTATTGCCTATAAATTGGGACCCTTAAAATCACTGTTTATGTTTGTTAAACAGTACAAATATTAGTCAATTCCATCACTTTTAATATACACAGCAATTATTATTATTTTTTTAAAATACACGACAATTATTTTAAAAATATAACCCTAACCAAACAAAAAGGGGAAAATATATTGTATATTAGTCTTTGTAACTGCAGCAAAGAGGAAGAAAATAGAGTAAAAAGCACAAAAAATATTGCAAATGAAAGAACCATAACAATTCAATAGCGGAGCCAGAATTTTTGATTTTTATGGCTATCGACAACATTACAATGGTCAGTGGCACAATAACAGCGTGTAGACATCAGCAAGTTAAGAGTAATGTTATTTAGCCCCATCGATGTTATAGTTCCAGTCTAACTGATGTTAACGTAACATTAAATAAGTCATTTAATTTTACCTTTCATTCAACCTATCATCTTACCTAAATTGGGAGTTGTAACCTAGTGGGCTATATAGCATTATTCCCAAGTTAAATACAAAATAATCGACTCTGAATTCACTGTAAATAAAAAATAATAAAATAGCAAAAAAATAGAAAAGGGAATCAACAAAGATGCAGATTGTTTTGATGGTACTTCAGTCCAAAACAAACCGGAAAAAGGAAAAAGGAGCGAAGAAGATAAGAATTGTCTCATTTTATGAACCATTTCTAATTAAGTCAAAAATGATAATTGAAAATATATTATTTTCGTAATGTTTGGCTTCCGACAGTGCCTTTTTGCATTCACTGTACCTTCATCATCGTCATAGTCACAAGTTTGTAGCAGTGTAAGCTTTAATTACCATTATATGCCATTCTATTTATAATCATTTTAGGGTATATAAAAAATAAACAGATAAACATTATATCAAAAATATTTTTTCAACTGATGTGTATTTGTATTGTGGTGAACCATAAATAAATGGCGATGGTAATATAATTAGAATAATTATATTCACACCATAATTTTCATTTCTTGTACCACCTCTTGAATTGTACTTGATATTCTTAATTTTTTTGTCGTTATAGTATTTATGTCCTTAATGATTTTTTTTATTATTCTTATTCTCAAAATTTCTATTAATTAACGCATTTTGCATAATCCAATAGTGAAATTGAGTCTGCTCAACATCCGAAGCTAATTTGAGGTCCTCAGGAAGACTAGAATAGATGAGTATTTCGACTCTTTTGATTAGACTTGACTTTCGATGAGACGCACGGGCAGGATAAGGAGATCTCCCTATTAGAATCATCTGATCAACCATTATCATTATCTTTAGAGGGCTATCCTCAGACAAGTTCTTAGGAAATGGTAAAGGCTTCAAGCCAAGCTCGTGTAAGAAGCTATTCCTCTATGATAACAGTTTGAGGTTCAAAAGTCCGTTAAAATAACTTATTTTTTCACAATGCGTTTAAAAAAAAAATATATATATATATATATATATATTTTTATGATGATGGTTACTCATATAATTATGAATTATCCTTATCGTTATGGAAATCTTCCTCAAATGCAAAAAATAACTGTATCTTTCCCATTATACCCTTTATATTAGAGATCTCTTCCTCTCTCTCTTTTTTTTTCGCTTAATTTTAATTTAGATATGAAAATTGTCTTTTAGCTTGAAGAGAGTGATATTTCGCTTTTTGCAAATATTGTTACATCACAGTTATATTTTCAATATTAACATTTTTATTTCAAGGACAAAGGAAAAAAAAAAAAGTAGAGAAAAAAATTTATTTTAACAGGTCTACTCTCTCTCCATTTTTTTTTTTTTTTTGATAAAAATGAAATTTGTATCCCCAATTTTTATTAAATATAACAATCTAGTGGTGTACAAAATGACTGTAATGTCCTTTATTAGAATGTCGTATAGGTAAAATTGACAAGGATGTCTAGAGCATCTAAATAGATTGGAAAGCTAAATTTAACTTTACCTTGACGATAATGTTTAGGAGTTAATTGTTTGAATGCACACTAAACTTCGCATAACCTCACATTTTACTTACTGAACTTTGGTTTGCACCTAATTGAACTTTTAAAAAGTTACACTCCATCATTAACCAAGTAACTTCTATCCAGCCCATTCGCCTAAGTGGACAACAATTTGCACTTGTGGCCATTTAATTGCTCCATCTCAAAAATGAATTGCCAAGTCACTGATACCAAACACGACTTACCCACTTAAAAAGTGAAATCACGATCTAGAACCTTACCCTCCCGAAAAGACCGAACAATTGCACTGTCGAATGTGAACCCTAATCAAATGTCCATCACCATTGAAGTCTACAACTCGACCACGAATATTGAGTTTTTTAAGAAGTGCACGTGGAGGGAGAAAATCAAGGTAAATCCTGTAATTTATTTATGGTTTCTTCATTTTTATCTTTACTACACGTGGAATGTGTTGGGAATCTATTTATACATGCACAGAAGAAATTAAAATTATTTCGATTCCCACCAAGGATCCCTTTGTGTTTAGATAAAAATCGTGATAAAGATTGTACATTTGAAAAATTCTGCAAATCTTTTGTTTTTCTTTCGTTCCAGCAATCTTGAATTTGCCTCCCATAACTGTCCAATTGTCTAGCCTCTAATGAAATCCACACAGAGAATAGACTGCGACTGCTATTGTTTTTCATCTTGTGCCAGCAAGAATTATGAAAATCATATGGACTTCAAACCTAGTTATGTATATATATAAACCCAAACGGGCCTGGTCCGGTCCGATCCAATATTTAATTAATCCATTTAATTAAATTCAGTCCGTGAATTAATTAATCCAATTAATTAATTCGGGCCTATAAATAATCAAACCAATTAATTAATTTATCTAACGATTGTTAAATTAATTAATTGACAAATTGCAACCTTTCAATTCTCTTTTGTGTGTGACCCATCAGTTCCCAATCACGATACCTAACGACGTGAAATATTATTTTGATCTAATCAAAATTGATAAATTAAAACACCCTTTTAATTTATCGTCAATTCACACTCGCCGTCCCAGATTGACATCTAGCAATTTGTCAGGGCAATACATGTGACGGAAAATGTCATGTGGTATGACAAAACCAAACTCGTTCGTTTATCGTGAAACTTTAATCCCTTCGTCAATATGATCCGATCAATTACGAGATATGAAAGTGTGTCAATCTCGATTATCGATCATATCTTTCACTCTACTATTAAGTCAATACAAGTCGAAAACTCCTTTTCGACTTATGAGTACACCTTGGTCAAGGATTTCATCATCGACTTAATTGAATGAAACGCAGATCATAATCTTCTACTATCTAAGAGTGACGAATCCTTTATTGGTCAATCACAACCTTCATATGATTCTTGACGTACCCGAATGGTGTCGTATTAGCGGCCTTTGTAGAGTAACATTCAACACCGTCAGAGTATGACTGTCCTCATATAAGGTACCATGATGACCTCAAGTCAAAGGACCAATTCCTCTACTGAACATTAGAGATTAACCACTGACACTCAGATAGTTATCTATGTGGAATCTCTTGGCAGGTCTCCAATGTTTTGTTCTATAACAAAACATCCACGTGTTCATTTAAGTGTCGCCGCACTTTAACTTGTGAGATCAGTTACTTACTTCACAAGTAAGAAATGCCACACGTGATGGTCTATCCG